TGGGTATTTTGTACCATCGGACACTCCACCCCCACAACTCCCAATTGGTGATGGGGTAGTTGTGGAGAGAGTGGAGAGTTTTCCATACCTGGGCAGTGTGCGCATGACCGGCTCCGGTTTCACAGCAGATGTCTCACTCCGAATCAGTCGAGCGTCATTATCTTTTCATCGGTTGCGTAACGCTGTGTGTAAGTTACCCGGTCTATCACTCCGCACGAAGCTTCAAGTCTTCTCGGCCACGGCCATTCCCTCCCTTCTCCACGCTTGCGAAACGTGGACTCCCCTAATGGAACATCTTCGCTGGTTAGAAACATTTAGCCTGGCCTGCCTACGATCCATCCTGGGTTTAGCCAGGCTGGATTGTGTGAGCTCACAAATCCTTGAAACATCTGGGCAAAGTCCCATCCGTGAGCTCCTCCGGCAGGCAAGGCTGCGTTGGCTGGGTCATGTAGCCCGCATGCCCAGCCACCGCATGCCTAAACAGCTTTTTTTCGACCGGATCGAGGGGGCTAAACGGGCGCGGCACGAGCTAGAGAAGAGATGGAGTGATGTGGTACAGGAGGACGTGGAGCTGAGTGGACTTGCCGATGACTGGTACCAGCGGTGTCAAGATCGGCCTCTGTGGAGGAGGCTCGTGAAGGACGCTACTGGGCAGTTGGAGGCAGTCGCCCTCCAACAACAACGGAGGGGGAAGGAGCGACGCTCACAACAATGAGCGGAGTGCCAGGTAGCTAAAGCACAGCAAGTTGGCACATTAGGGAGCACAGGTGGTGCATCAGCCAGTCGTCTCAGTCAGTCGACCTGTGGCATCTGAGTCTGCCCCGTGACCTCCTGCCAGTGGGTGTTCGACACATGACGTGGCCTCAACGTGCACATAGCCTGGCACAAGCGTCGTGGTGATGTCACCGCCACTTAGTTGCGAATGGCGGTTGTTGTTGTTGTGTGTGTGTGTGAGTAGTGATATTTGGTATAATCTGGCTGCCTCTATAAATCATTATATTAACCCAGGGGTGTCCAAACTTTTTGCAAAGAGGGCCACATTTGATAAAGTGAAGATGCCCGGGGGCCAATAGTTCCTTTTGACATTGTTTTAACCACAAAAGTTACGTGGAAATACACACTGTTATAAAACAATTTTCATTGTCACAATAACCTTTATTTTACAAATGACAATGTAACCAAATATAAGCCACTCAGGCAGACGGGAACAACTCTAAAAACGCAATTCTGCCTTTCATTCAGTCAGATAATATTGAACTAACTGTATAGAATACCTTACATTTCCATGAGTTTTATGATGTATTTATTCTGACAGAGCTGGCGAGTCATAACTAACACATTATAAGACCGAAGCTGCGGGCCGTATGAAATCTGACCGCGAGCCGTGATTGGCCCGCGGGCCGGACTTTGGACATGCCTGTATTAACCGATATTAAGCAGAAGCGCGCCCCGAAAATAACTTGGAATAAAATAATAATCATGCAGCGTGCGATCTCAACACCCCTGACCAGCGGCAACAGCGACAGCAGCATGCCCTGTGATGGACAACCGCGTGATTGAACAAAATTGATCCACGTCCAGTCAAATCATCGCAACCACAACAATGCTGCCAGTGCCATGCCCTGTGCCTGCCACTGCCTGCCAGGGCCCTGCCCTGCGCCTCCACCCAGCAAGCGCCTGTCGTGTCCTCCCTCACACCATCACCAGCCCCCACCCTCCAAACATATTAACTTAACATTCTCCACCTTTATAACTCCCGGTCTCTGTCGCTCCAATCCACTCTTCGGGGCTGTTTTTGGTCTGGGACTGTTGTTGTTGTTGTTTTGCTGTCTTTCCCAAAGCTTGGTAATTAGGTGTACTTATGCAATTTGAACTTATATATGTTTTATCTATTTTATGTATTTATTTCTATTAGTGATTTGGTTGCCTCTCCTACACTTCGCACTCCTATCGGTATTGTTTTTTGTATTGTTCGTTGTTGTAACTTTCCGACCCGCCCCTACTGGACATGTGCGAAAGAAAAAGCTTCATAGCCCATGGGGATTCCTCCGGGATAAATCAACATTCCCATTCTGATTCGGGAGACAACCCTCCCATTTACATTCACAGTGAAACTCCCAATAGCGGCTCGAGTGAAAGCGCCACAGCGCGTCCGCCGTCAAGCCTCAGTTTCGCGAGCGGCTGCCGTACACCTCATTCCTCACCACCGCCCCGCTCGTGGAAACTCGCGTCCGCCGTGGCGAGACGACGCATCTCGTTGTTAACGTCCCCTGGGGCGGCGCCTTTATAAGTCATCGCCATCATCAGACGAGGCTCTCGGCGTCGTCTGTGTCTGCCGCCTAATGGCCACCGAGCTCCTCCACGCCCCCACTCCCACCCCCCACTCGGTGTGGCCGTGACAGTCCCGGCCACGGGGAGGAATCTTGAGAGTGGAAGAGGGAGGAGGCACCGCGGATTATGTTGCAGGAGGCGTGCGTGGCAGGCAGCGGTCGTCGACGGGAGCTAATCAGTTGTATAATATAATCCATGCGCTGCCTTCTGGCTGCTGGCCATCGAATGAAGGCAGCCGCCGCATCGCGCGCTTTCAGATGCGCGATGCGGCCGTCTGGAAAGCGCTTCCTCCTCCCGACATTAAGACGCCACTGGGAGCGACGCACTTTAAAATAATTTGGATTGAAAACTCATTTCTTTAGAACTGCTTTTTGTGTTCGCATTTTAAGTCGATATGAAAAAACAAAACTAATAATGGAAGGTGGATCGTAAGTGTGTGTGTTCGTAAGTCGAGGACTACATGCACACACGTACACGCTGAACGAAGGCAACCCCGCGCCGTGTCGGCCACGGGGGATGTGCTCCTGCCGGAGCGCAGCACGTGGGGCTCTCGCTCGAGAGGGCGTGGGCACGCGTGGCGTCACAAAGGGAACGATCACGTGAGCGGTGCGTACATATGCGCACGCGTCTGTTCCGTCTCGACACAAGTCCATCCAGACCACACCTCCGATTAGGACGGTTGGCTACGTACAGTGCGACAGAATACATATATACGTGCATACATACGTACGTTCGCCCATCAGGTCATTGATTGCCCTCGCCAGTAATAGCCAGTAAGCCGGCAGCAGCAGCAGCAGCGATTATTTGACAAACCCGACTGCTGATGACACCCAGGAAGTCGAAACCGATCCAGAGTTTTCTTCCGTCGACCCCTGAAGCTGCTTGAGAAGTCGTGGGTAGGAAAGGCCTCACCGCAGGGGTCGGCAGCCTGCGGTGCTGGAGCCGCACCCGGCTCGTCAAGGAACTGCCTCGTGACGTTCTCCATTCAGACCAAGGCCGTAGCCATGGAGTCAACATCGGGGGGGACCAAATCTTCCAGGGGGTCTGAGGGTCCCCCCCCCCCCCAGAAAAACAATATCTAAATTTGAAAACGAATTTCCTGCCTAAAATATTAAAAAAATTCACTAACACATGGGATGGACTCTTTATTTATGTTTTACAATAATGTCTAATAGTGTATTGTATAGTGTATTGTATTTCATTGCTCTGTTCTTTTTGACCTTTTCTTGTTTCATTGTATGTAATGGCAGAGATTAGGGATGAATAAAGTACAACCATAACCACAATCAAATAAACAGAAATCTGATAATTGGTTCTTTACCCTTCTATCTGGCAACAGGTGTCAGTTTTGTTGCCAGATAGAAGGGTAAAGAACCAATTATCATATTTTTACTGGCAAATGAGGTCCCCATAGTGTAGATGTTTGCCCCGAGCTCTCATACTCTGATGGTGCATTGTCTTTGAGTTGTGCGCCTTTTGGCGTCTTCTGGTCCAACCCATGTGAGACTAGGCTCGAAGGAAAGCTGTCTCGGGTGTGGACCAATCAACTTCAAGGACAGTGCACATTATCAGAGTTATGTCTTTTGTTTGTATTTATGACTGCAGGTATTGCGGTCTATGCAAACATGACTCCTTGTAAAAAGGTGTCAGTTTTGTTGCCAAATAGAAGGGTAAAGAACCAATTATCATATTTTTACTGGCAAATGAGGTCCCCATAGTGTAAACAGAAATCTATTTTATAGAAATATATTGGGGGGGACATTTTGAGCATATTTGAATATTGGGGGGGGGGGATGCGTCCCCCCCAATATATATATCATAATTACGGCCTTGATTCAGAACCCCCGCCGTCTCGTACTGAGCACCACCACAGTGCATGTCTCTTCTTCTTATTTTGGTTGCCCGACCCCTGCCCTGGGGTCGAGGCCGACGGACAGCAGCTCAACGTTTGTTCCAAAACAGCGCGGAGCCGTCGCTCAGACGACAGCGCGAGCATCGGAGATGCGCGGCGCCCTGCTGCGTTGCGGCACGAGCTTCAGAAGGGCGACCATTAGGCGAGTCACGCGGAGCTCAATCTGAGAAGGGCGCAGCGAAGCGCGGAGAGGCGCGTGCTCGGAATGACACCGAGAGGCAGGAGCAGGAGGAGCGGGTGGGTTCGTGACGTGGGCCCCGCTGTGAATGGGGGGTGAGTGGGTGTCGGGCAGGAGGGACTGTGATGATGAAGAGTGGTCGAGGTTGATAACGGAGCGGCAGCCGATGAATGGGACGACGCGTCCTGGAGGAGCGGTCACCGGGGAGATGGAGCGATGAAATCGGTTCGGTGCTGGGTGGATTAAAACATCGTAGGATCGCGAGATATTGCGGTTTGGAGAGGGAGGCCTTCCTCCAGCGGTGAATATGCGTCTACAGTATATTATTATAAGAGCATGTTGGGTTCCAAGTACTGTGTGTGCTTAATGCAGACTTGATTCCTTGCAAAAGGCATCTTTTTGGCGTTTGAACATCTTAACACCTGCTGCTTTATTGCCAGAAAGAGAAAAAAAACTATTCTTATTTCTCACATTTTGAAACAACAACAACAATGACAATAACGATAACCGGGGCGGCCGCGGGGATTCGAATCCGCGAGCCTCCCGGAGTGCGAGGGCGAGGGGGGGGGAGGGCCCTACCTGCGGCGGACTGCGCGCACCCCGCGAGCGTGCACGCGCGCCGCTCGCCCTCCCCCTCGGGCAGCACGAGGCAGAGCACGGCGAGCAGCGAGCTGACGGCCAGCAGCGAGCAGCCGCCCCCACACAGCACCACGCTCACCTGGGCCGGGAGGCAGTGGGGGGGGGGGGGCAAGGGGCAGTGGGGGGGGGCAGAGGGCAGTGGGGGGGGGACAAGGGGCAGTAGGGGGGGGGACAAGGGGCAGTGGGGGGGGGACAAGGGGGGGACAAGGTGCAGTGGGGGGGGCAAGGGGCAGTGGGGGGGGCAAGGGGCAGTGGGGGGGGGGGGGCAAGGGGCAGTGGGGGGGGGAAACAAGGGGCAGTGGGGGAGAGACAAGGGGCAGTGAAGGAGAGGGACAAGGGGCAGGGGGGGCGCAAGGGGCAGTGAAGGGGAGGGGCAAGGGGCAGTTGGAGGGGGGACAAGGGGCAGTGGGGGGAGGCACAAGGGGCAATGGGTAGAGAGACGTCATGTTTAGATAAACATCAGACACAGTAATGTTGAGGCTAATGGGATTATTATTATCGCTGCGCTCTGTCACCCTGCACGAGAGCCCCGCCGAGTCTCCAGGCTCTGTGTTCGCGGTGTGCCGGACGGGCGGGCGGGTCACGGCTCGGATTAAGCCCCCGGCGCGACCGCCAAATCACCGCACTCGGTCACCCGGTGGAGTAATTCACCTCCTCCCACTGTACCGAACGCATCGCACACAGCAACGATCCCCTGTGCGGCACGATGTTGGGCCAGGTTGCTATTCGATTGCCAATTATCCGAACCGGTCCTGGGCCTCCCCTAGGTCGGCTCGGTCTCAAATGAGTACCTGGTGCGGTGTGTAAACATTTTCCACTCGGGAGACAAATGCGGTGGGGCGTGGTGCTGGTCTCACCCACCCCCTCGTCTGCCGTGGCGGCCTTCATGGGGGATGATCTTTGTCTTTGTGTGCTGCTCACCCATCCAAGCACTAACCACGCTCAACTGCGCTCAGCTTGCGGGAGACATTGGGCCCAATTACGGGGCACTGGTTCCTCGCTCACGATCATCTGAGCCGCTCGCTGGCACTCACGGCGGCTGTCAAACCCCACGCGGTGAGCACGGGGGGCCTCCTCTCCGTGCGCCACCGCCCCAGCACCTGGCTCTGACTGGCGCGCGCTTCTCTCCTCCTCTTCCGCAGCCTCCTCGCATCCCCCCCTCCTCCTCCTCCAATCTCCAGATCATCCAAAATGCGGCTGCCAGACTTGACTCACCCACCCCACAACATCCACCCACTCAACCCCCACCTACCCCAACCCACCCACCCCACAAACCCACCCACCCACTCAACCCCCACCTACCCCACCCCACCCCACCCACCCTCTCCACCCACCACACAACACCCACCCACTCAACCCCCACCTACCCCAACCCACCCACCCCACCCCACCCACCCTCTCCACCCACCACACAACACCCACCACACAACACCCACCCACATCGCCCTACCCACCCACTCAACCCCCACCAACCCCACCCCACCCACGCCCTGTCACATCACTCTACTCCCCTCCACACACTCTCCTACCTCTGCCCCCCTCCATCTCACTCTACTCCCCTCCAATCTTTAAAGGGCAAGGTGATGTGGATGAGTGTGGGAGCTACAGAGGAATATCATTGATGAGTCGCGCCATGAAACTCTGGGAGAAGATGACAGAAAGGAGGCTGAGGAAGCTGGTGGATGTTGACGCGAGTCGGTTTGTATTGAGACAGGGAAGGTCAACAATGGGCGCGATCTTTGCACTGAGACGCGTTTTGATGGAGAAGTTCGGAGAGAAGAAACGGGGCCGGCACGTGGTGTTCATTGATCTAGAGAAAGGGTACGACAGGGTGTCTAGAGAGCTCATCTGGTGGCGTATGAGAAGAAGAGGTATCGCTGAGGTACACGTCCAGCTGAGCCAGGATATGTATGACGGAGGGAGAATGCACGCGCGGAGCAGCTGTGGAGTGTCGGAGAGCCTTCAAGTGAAGTGGGAGTGAAGCACGGTTCCGCCCTGAGCCCCTTCCTGATCATCCTGGTGCTGGACACACGCACGGGAGACATTCAGATGGAGCCCCCCTGGTGGATGCTGTTTGCTGACGACATGCTGGCTATGCAGTGAAAGCAAATGGGGTAGTGGAAGATGATTTAAAGATCTGGGTCCAAAAGATTGAAGGGAATGGGTTGAGGATCAGTCGGACAAAGACTGAGTATATGGTGGCACATTTCAGTGGAAATAATGCAGAAGGAGGATTGGAAATTGGAAGTGACCAGTGAATGAAGACGAGCGAGATTAAGTGCCTGGGTGCAACGATGTAGTGTTGATGGATCACGAGAACGAGAGATGAGAACACGAACAAGGGCTGGATGGCTGAATGGCGAGAGATTACCGGTGTGGTGTGCGATAAGACGGTCCCAGTTTGGTTGAAGGGAAAAGTGTGTAGTGTAGAGTATAGTGTAGTGTATAGTGTAGTGTATAGTGTAGTGTAGTAGTGTAGCGTATAGTGTAGTGTATAGTGTAGTGTAGAGTGTAGTGTAGAGTGTAGAGTATAGTGTAGTGTATAGTGTAGTGTATAGTGTAGTGTAGAGTGTAGTGTATAGTGTAGTGTAGTGTAGAGTGTAGTGTATAGTGTAGTGTATAGTGTAGTGTAGAGTATAGTGTATTGTATAGTGTAGTGTAGAGTGTAGTGTAGAGTGTAGTGTAGAGTATAGTGTAGTGTATAATGTAGTATATAGTGTAGTGTAGAGTGTAGTGTAGAGTGTGTGTAGTGTAGAGTATAGTGTAGTGTATAGTGTAGTGTAGAGTGTAGTGTAGAGTGTAGTGTAGAGTATAGAGTATAGTGTAGTGTATAGTGTAGAGTATAGTGTAGTGTATAGTGTAGTGTATAGTGTATAGTGTAGTGTAGAGTATAGAGTATAGTGTAGTGTATAGTGTAGAGTATAGTGTAGTGTAGAGTGTAGTGTAGAGTGTAGTGTAGGATAGTGTAGTGTATAGTATAGTATAGTGTAGAGTGTAGTGTAGAGTGTAGTGTAGAGTGTATAGTGTAGTGTAGTGTAGTGAGAGTGTAGTGTAGAGTGTAGTGTAGAGTATAGAGTATAGTGTAGAGTATAGTGTAGTGTATAGTGTAGTGTAGAATGTAGAGTATAGTGTAGAGTATAGTGTAGTGTAGAGTGTAGTGTAGAGTGTAGTGTATAGTGTAGTGTAGAGTGTAGTGTATAGTGTAGTGTAGAGTGTAGTGTAGAGTATAGTTAGTGTAGTGTAGAGTGTAGTGTGCAGTGTAGAGTATAGTGTAGTGTATAGTGTAGTGTATAGTGTAGTGTAGAGTGTAGTGTAGTGTATAGTGTAGAGTATAGTGTAGTGTAGAGTGTAGAGTATAGTGTAGTGTAGTGTAGAGTATAGTATAGTGTAGTGGAGTGTAGAGTGTAGTGTAGAGTATATAGTGTAGAGTATAGTGTAGTGTATAGTGTAGTGTATAGTGTAGTGTATAGTGTAGTATAGTGTAGAGTGTAGTGTAGAGTATAGAGTATAGTGTAGAGTATAGTGTAGTGTATAGTGTAGAGTATAGTGTAGTGTATAGTGTAGTGTAGAATGTAGAGTATAGTGTAGTGTAGAGTGTAGTGTAGAGTGTAGTGTATAGTGTAGTGTAGAGTGTAGTGTAGAGTATAGAGTATAGTGTAGTGTAGAGTGTAGTGTAGAGTGTAGTGTAGTATATAGTGTAGTGTATAGTGTAGTGTAGAGTGTAGTGTATAGAGTAGTGTATAGTGTAGTGTAGAGTGTAGTGTAGAGTATATAGTGTAGAGTATAGTGTAGTGTATAGTGTAGAGTATAGTGTAGTGTATAGTGTAGTGTAGAGTGTAGTGTATAGTGTAGAGTATAGTGTAGAGTATAGTGTAGTGCAGGGGTCCTCAAACTACGGCCCGCGGGCCACATGCGGCCCGCCGAGGACATTTATCCGGCCCGCCGGGTGTTTTTGCCGCCGCTGCCTGTCTGTTACTTTTTTTCTGCATGAGAAGGACGGTCATTGGTGGAAGAGTGAGAGGGGGCGGAGTTCCCCCCAATCAGACTGCATTGATGGGCAGTGCAGTCTGTATGTCTCTGTGTGGGCAAAGTTATTGCTGGTATATTGTTTTTGTAGCGCTGTATATATATTGGTATTTTACTAATAGCAATTTTGACTCCCTAGGAAACAATGATGTCAAGAAAGAGAAAAATTTACTCGGAGTGTAGGATATTCAAAGAACAGTGGACTTATGATTACTTTTTCATGCAGTACAAGGAAAGAGCTGTGTGTCTGATATGCCAGAATATAGTGTCTGTGTTCAAAGAATACAATTTACGTCGACACTATGAAACTCAACATAAAGATAAATATGATTGTTTGGTCGGAGAAGTGAGAAAAGATAAAATATTAAAACTGAAAAATACATTAACAACTCAGCAAAATACTTTTGTGAAGCAGAAGCAGCTAAATATGTCATCACTGCGAGCAAGTTTTCAAGTTGCCAAGCTAATAGCGTGCACTGGCAGACCATTCGTGGAGGGAGAATTTGTTAAAGAATGCCTTCTTTCTGTTGCCAAAGAGATGTGTCCAGAGAAGGCCGATTTATTTAGTACAGTGAGTCTTTCAGGACCTACAATTACACGGAGGATTGAAGAAATGGGAGACAATTTGCATCAGCATTTGCAAAACTCCACAAAAAAACTTTCCTATTTTTCGTTGGCACTCGACGAAAGCAATGATGTTCGTGATTCTGCACAACTTCTAATTTTTATTCGTGGGACGAATGACTATTTCGAAGTCACAGAAGAGCTTGCTGCACTGCAAAGCATCACAAGAACAACTACAGGAGAGGATATCTATAAAAAGGTTTGCCAAACTGTGAATGGTTTGGAGCTGAACTGGGCTAAACTAGCCAGTGTGACAACTGATGGTGCTCCTAGCATGGTGGGGTCTAAGAAAGGAGTAATTGCTCGCATTAACCAAGAGATGGACAAACATAACCATTCTCATCCAATAGCCATACACTGCCTCATCCACCAACAAGCGCTGTGTAGTAAATCAATGAAGTGGGACTCTGTTATGAAAATTGTGGTATC